GCTGGGACCAGGCTCTGCTGTGGGACTGCTTGGGCAAGGATGCCTGAGAAATATGGACCAGGTGATCACAATTCCTTCTTCTGTTAAACCTACCCTGGAAATACAGACAAATACTTCTTTTTTCATATTAAATGACCCATTGCTAGTGACTGGGGAGAAGGTTGTCAACATACTCCAAAATGAAGAGAAACCAGGCTGCCTTGCAGGGTGTGAGTGGTCAGAGACACGAAAATAACTAGGTATTGAACTACATCCAGCTGCACCCTTCCACAAACAGCCTGGAAGGAGAAATACAACTCAGTGGGTAAATGCCATTCTGCCAACCTGTAATCAGCTTCAGCCTTTCCCTAATAGAGGCCAACTGGAAGTACAATAACTATTACATAAACTGCATATTCAGACTCCTATACTTGAAAGAACAGAATCTTAAACTGTAGAAATATGGATGAAACATTAAGACTACCTCAAGAATATACCTAAATTTCCCATATGAAAGTCACAATCCACACCACATCATCTGAAATGCAATGGCTATTTATATGGCCAGTCACTGAAAACATCTTGCCACTAAACCATCCACTGACTAATCAATAAGCCTACCCAAGTACAGTATGCTCTTTTTCAACACTGAAATCAATGAAATTGATAAAATAGAGTGAGTTGCAAGTACAGATTAGCTGGGAAGTGCAAACTGATGTCAGTGCAGCTATTTATCTACCTTAGGGGGCCTGAAACCTTGAGCTCGTAAACATCTCTATTAAAAGGCAAAGATCCAGCCTTCCTTTCACTTGCACCCAAGCAACCACAGTGCCTTTGTGGGGCAGGTGTTGGGGTTACTGAGGTAAGGCTCAGAGAACAATTTGATTCTCAGAATCCCAAAACCACCTGCAAGAAGTTTCTTATCCAAGTTCTGCCCTAAAAATCTCAGCCTGGGCACTCCTACTGGTGTTTTATGCCCTCTCCTCATTTTTGGCTTTTCACATTACTAAAAAAACAGCAATGTTATTTACTGACTATATTTCCACCATTAGGCATGGAAATCTAACAGTAATGGACTGATATATTCCAAGTGCTGGGCTGCAAACTGAGTGATGAAGAAAGTCCATAGTCACTCCTTGAGAAAATAGCTATGTTTCCTCTATTCTGTAGGCTTAGTTGATAATTTTAGCAACTACAAATTCTGTGCAGAGATGTAGAAAACTAATTTTTGAAATACCATGGCATTAATGAAAGTATCAAACATCTTAGGGTCTGTGACAGCTCGTCAGATTAGTGAAGCTAACCACCTAATAAAGGTTAGAACCTATGCCCATAAGATGTTACATTGTCCAGCTGATTTCAGGGGACAAAAATCTTTGCAAGGTTTGCCATCCATGCAAGGTTTCTGGACCTGGTGATGTCACTTCATTATAAAGTTATGGCTCAATTTTCAACAACACCAACTGGACCTTGTTTGTAATTTCCAGGCAAGAGTTTTGCAGGTTGACACTAACACAGCGTTTAAGTGTTTAACTAACTGGTTTATAATGCCTTATGTGGAAAGAGCATTTCAGCATGTCCAGGCTTCAGACTCACACATCTGAAATCAGAGCTGTCACTGTACTGCCAAGTACTGGCAAATGGAAATACCTTCTGATTTCATACAAAAAGGAATCAAGAAATCCAGTACACGTCTCAAACTTCTCTGTGCACCTCAGACTATATCCTTTCAAGGTGAAAATATTCAAGGTATTGGAGTGGCAGATAAATCCACCAACCAGCAGCAATGAACAATACATGGCATAAAAAGGAAAAGCCAGGAGTACTGGGACAGCATGTCAGACAGACAAGTGCTGAAGAAGTATCAGTGGGTTTGCTGGTGAGAAAGTGGGAAATATTATCTAATCCCAATTGGAAGATGTAGAGTAAGCTTCTACTGTTACGTTATTAATTGAAGGTACAGATGAGCCGTTGTGCTGAAACCTGAGAGAAATACAGTCCTTCTTAGTAATGACTGGAACCCGACCCCTGAAGTCCATAGGTCTTTGGTCTTCATCAGGTTGCTTTTCCCACCTTGAAGGCTGTATCTCAAGAGGAGGAAAGTGCTATAACTTTTAGCCTGATGCTGACTCTTTAGAAGCCATCACTCTTCAGGATTTAGTTATTCAGTAGTGAAAGGATCAGTTTACTGATACAGTGATAGAATTTCAAATGAAATCGATTGTAATGAACTTTTTAATTTTTTTTTAAACTCATACACTTCTAATACTTTGCGATGAAGCTTGAAACACTGCAATCAGAAATGGTTTTCTGTAGATAAGTCAAACTATGCCTTTCATAGACAATATAAAATAAAATAAACTTGCTACTCACAGTAGATGTATTCCTTCAATTTCTGTGAAAACTGCAATAGTATCTGTGTACAGTTTCACCTAGCTTGGTGTCTCACCACCTTCCACAGACCAACATATGCTGAATACATAAGAAACCTTTTCCAGTGTCTCTATCAGTGATTGTTGTGTTTAATACTAGTGCAAAATGGAACTTAAACCAGAAGAAATAAACATAAATGTTAACTATCTTGCTGGAGATGAGAAACCAGATGATGTCTGGAGCTGGCATTATTCTAAACAGGAAAAAGGTATGAAAGCTACTTAGCTTAGAGGTTTATAAATACCAGATATATACTTTAAGAGGAAGTTGTCAGGTTAAGAAAGGACAAACACAGTTCTATACTAATAACTGAGAAAGATGTAAAGAGTGTATATGTGAAATTATACCTGGGAAGTCCATTTTTGTCCAAGACAATTTTAATTATGCTTTTTATTGGACAGATGCTCAAAGTAGTAGAAAAAAATCTGCTTTGGTTTATACACTGCCACACTTTACCTGATTCTCTCTGCTAAAGCAAAAAGAACACATGAAAAATCCCCAAAATGACAAAGACTGGGACCACTGTGGCAATGTGGCAGAATGCAAAGCGTCAGTTCCACAAACCTCCCTGGAGCACCACAGTAAAGTCCCAAGATGTCTCCTGCAAGCATTTATAGACCAACTGAACTTCATGTACTGTGATTAATTTCCCTGACACCATGTGGGTTTCATTGCAGCATACAAAACCAAACACAGACTTAACGTATTTTTAGGATCAGGACATACTTAACACAAGTCAGCCGTGATTTAATGTGCCTGTACTTAATGTGCAATTTACTAAATGTGAGAGAATTCTGTATTTTGGTACAGTTTGTGTTTTTCCCCAGAACAGCATGTATGTTGTTTCAACATTAATGCTGAAGTTCAAAACTCCGCAGTTACTGATGTTTATTTTAACAATTATAAAGTTGTCTAATGCAGCTGGAAACAGAGGTACAGTAGCCTCATATTTAAAAGCACAGCTTTTTATATAACATTAAAGAACACTAATGGCATGTTGCCCATTTCTGATTATCTAGCAGCTTCTATTCTTTACATGAATTAATGTTCCAATCAGAATGCATCTGTATAACATTTTCCTGGTGCTGATCAAGTATCATCAATTCAGTGATTTCCTTGTGATCCCACTGCATATGCTAGGCCAGATTATTCAGATTATTATCATTATTATCTGCTGGTAGAAGAGATAATGGGGCATTTCTAATCACAAAATAATGCCACAGAAAAAACTATGGTAAGCGTGAACATCAAGGATGTACAATAAAAAGGCAGAGGAAGACCTTGTGTTACAGGAACATGCTTCTGGACTGTGCTTAGTGCAACAATCTAGATGTAGATAAGCATTAATATTCACAAGACAAGTGGATAGTTCAGCATCAGTCCTTGTTTGCAGTGTTAGAAGCTATGCATATGTGTGATGCACGCATGCCCTCATGCGCAGGTCAAGAAGGACTCCTGTAACAGCTTTTAAACTTTGCAAACCTGGAGGCAAAGGTTTTTGACCTTGGCAGTAAGCCCCTATACTATAGTTTGTGCTACAAAGTGATATCATTCAGGGTAGGATATAGTGTCCCTTAGTTGCAAGCCCAATGCTCGCTAGCTATACTAAGAATCTATGGAGTGACTTCTCAGAGAAACAGTTCAGACTTCCAGTGACACTTTAGAAATGTATGTACATTCACACACATACACACACACAAACACACAAAAATAGGAAAAAAAAGGCAGGAGCAACCTTCTCTGAAACACTTAAAGAATTCAGTGTCCTGACGAGAAATAGTAAGCAGTGCAGTTACTATTAATTACAATATCTTTTAGGTATTTTTTCAGTTATGTGCAGTGCTAACTGCTGGTTCAAAAATCAGCGTTTTACATGTTCAATTCTAAAACCGTTACTAGTTTTGAAAAGTAGCATCTGAATAGGGATACTCTTTTTTTAACACTTCATAGTTAATTATGTTTAACTCTTCATATTTTTTCACATTCCACCTGCTTCTAGCTGAACATGAAAGAATTTGTATGTGACATTTATTGTCCATCATGTAACCTTCTGCTCTAGTTTTAAATATTAAACATCTTTTCTGTCTGCAGGGGTTGAATAATACAATGAAATTAAAAGAATTTAAGTTTTAACCCTTGTCATTCTTGAAACTTTGTAAATACTCAGATTTCAAAGTTGGGTTATGTTAATTGCCAACATGATCAATTTAACTGTAGCACATACGTAACGATACTGACTTTTGCTTCTGACCCAAGATTTATTTTCTCCCAAGAATATACATTCAGTGCACAGGACTGGCTAAAGACCACTGAAATCAATGGAAAGGCTACCAGTGACTTGAAGAAATATGGATTGGGCTTTGAGCATAATACAGTTGACTTAAATGACTCACCACAAGGGCTGAATTTTGCTTAAACAGACGTAAAGCACTTCATCCCATGTACCTTTAACCAACTCCATATATTTTAACCCCACCCTTCCACTCCCAGGAATTTACAGTATTGTATCATGCTAGTTCTGTTAAGGAGCCACAACACTTGCACAGATAAAATGAATGACTGAAACACATAGAGTTGTTTGTACTTACAAGTGTCTGGTTTGAGCTGACTGTTGGTAATTCCAAAATACTGGGGATTTTCAATGACAGGAATCTTTGTCATCCCAATGATGACTGCATCAGGACCCCCCTCAGAAGAAGATGGAGTGTTACTGCCATTTGAGATGTGGTGGAGGGGACTGGCTGAATCGTCATCATTGCTGATAACTGAAGAAGGACCTAGAGTTAGAAACAAAGATTTTCTTGTAACTCAGCATATGGTATCCTTCCCTTAGACAATTCCTTTATCTTTGTTTTGACCACTTTTATTCTGAAGTTTTGACCAGCTGTCCATGGTCAACAGCTCTCTTTGTGTGCCTTGTTGACCTTACCTCAGAAATTTTATATTCTGGAAGCAGATGGAGAATGGTGCAATGAGAAACAAATTTTTATACTGGCACATCACCTAGACTAAATATGTCAGCGTCCAGCACAGTCTGCCACTGGGAAAGATCTCAAAATTTCTGAACTCATTCTGTCAGTCTCAGAATTAGGCTATAAAATACATGCACTAACTTTTTTACTTTATGCCCTACTTGAATCACACAGCAGTAACAGCACAAATCCAGGGAATGCCTGCCCTACCTGGCATTATAACAAGACAAAAGACACAGAGGAGATGGGTTCATCCTCATATGAGAAGCTGGTAACTTCTGAAACAAATATGGTTCAGGGCCAAAAAATCTAGGGAACAATTTGCACAGTCACAGAGGTGCAGAGAAGATGGATGCTGAATTGATTAGTGGGAAAGACACATCCCACCACACTGCAAAACTTGGAACCACTGCAGAGAGGCTCATCGAACCCAGAGGAATATCCCACTGGCTCCCCCATCCATATCTGAGTCTAGTCACCTTCCAAAAAGAGGTCTATTGTGAACAGTAATTCAGTGACAGTTTTTATTTTGTTTCCACTCTGTGGTTTGTATTTTTAATGGAAGTACCACTGAGATAATACCTTGTAAATGGATTTTAAAAAATCCTGCTTAGCGCAGCGTTCCACTTCTGTGAGCTGCAGGAACCTTTGAACTAACAGCACGATCAGCACAGGCGACATTTGAACTCCTGACATTTAAATTCTATGCCATTTAAATGCCATTTCATTTAAATTCCACATCACTTTTTCCCGTTTATATCCATTATTCAGAGAAAACTAGAAGCACCATTTAGCAGTAATGACATTTTGCCTCATCCCCTGACAGAAGAGCCAGCAGAGATCACACACGTCATATTTCACTTCGTTGTCCGTCCATGTTAACTAGGGTTTTGGGGATGACATTCACATCTTCTAATTGTAACATCAAAAGAAGGTGCTAGAAACAGATGGAAAAATTCACCCCCTGGAAGTGTCCATCCTGGAATGGCATCCTTAGACAATAGTTGTGTTTAGCCTGTGGGCAGCAGTGAGAGGTTGAGCAAATGTTCCCCCAAAGAAGGGGGCACCAGAGAGGCCCCTAAGGACAGTAAAAAGCTGTGTTTACTCAGTAACCAGTAACTGGTAACCCCTTGCAACATGTTGCACTCCCAGAATAAGTTTGGGCTGGACAGAAGAACACTGCAGAGTCAAGACAGAGCTGAGTAACTTGCCACATAGGTGGCATCTGTGTCCGCAGGAGAGATGGGGAATGTAGAGAAAGAGAGAGTAAGAATGGGGACCAGCAGCAGGTTCTGTATACACATTACTGAGGACATGAGAGAAGACAGGCAGGATTCACCGCAGCAGACATACAGTTAAGGAATATGATAAGTAAAAGGACAGTCCCAAACACAGCAAAGAAAAGGGAGCTTTAAAGAAACTTCTACTCTTCTGTGGTTCACTGTATTGTTAACAAAATCACTTCATCACTACATGCCATGCTCACAGGAATAAAGCTTAAATATTCTGGTATGTGACTATTCAACCCTATATTTTGAGACTCAAGAGTATTCACACCCCTGTCCTGGTTTCCTTTCTTCTCAGCTGGTTTAATGGTGCATGAGGAACACGTTCTTGTGGTTTGAAAAAGTATTTCCCCCCCAGCTTGAAACATTAGAAGTAATTTTTCAAATACCTTGCACTTCACTGTAAAGTCACTGTTGACAAATGTAAGCAAAGCCTAGATCTCTGCAATTTATCAAGTGAAACCACTAATACCAAGGCTAGTTTTGTTATTACTGATCACCCAGATCCTCAAACGATTGATTCTCCTGGGAAAACTGCCAAGGTTAAGAGTTTTTGGTGAAGATTTCTCTAATGAAGGGCAGAGCCTAATAAATTGCGGGAAAGGGTCCCTCAGATGGCACAGAAGATACTTAAATTAGATCACAACAAATTTTTCAGATGCATGAGTGTTGTTTGTAGAAGCATTAGAGTGCAACCCATTTAAAACTGCATTCAATTTTTGGTAGATAACATCCTTGCATCTCTAAGCTTTCTGAATATCAACTTAGTTGCTCCAAAAAAGCAGGCTGACTAATACATACTTTCTTGAGAAAACAAAGACTTTTTATAGTGAAATACTATGAGGGTCGAATCCCTTCTGTCACAGTAAACAGGCAAATCCTCTTGGATCTGAAACTTAATAGAAACAAGTCTTGAAGTCGTTTTCAGCCCTGCTGTTATCTGCCGCACAGGGGGAGGCCTTTTTGTTGTTGTTTGCTTCCAGCATACATGCAGTGATGGCAAGGAAAAGTGACCATTAGACATTTCCAGATGTTAAAGTGGGATAATGAATAGGACCTCTGGTCATCGTATAATTTCCGCACTACCTCAAGACCCAGTTTTGTATGGTGAACTATTCTTTCAATCAGTATAAACCACAAAGTGCTGCAGGTGAAAAGTAGACAGTTGTTCCATAAATCTATTTACTCAATTAGGCTAGCTGGTAAAAGCTACTCTTCTGTGTGGTATGAAGCAGGCTCCAAGCTGCTCTCTGATGCAGGTAAGGAAAACCTGGAAAATTAAGTGATTTTCAGAGCAATTCCTGGCACTACAAAACAGTGTAAGAAAAATTCAACTGTAGGAACTTTGTTGCTGCATCACTTTGTGATCCCCCTTACTAATATATTAGCAAGTGAACATCTCATGTAATGGTCTTTCTGAATAGCTGTTTCAGTTCAAAAATCCTATTTCCTGTCTATTTCTTTTCTAATTAAGACAATTCCATCAACAGATGGAAATTTTTATGTATCAGAGGCAGCTGAGCTCGCATTCTTTCCAACTCGCCCTTTGCTGGGACTTTTTTTTCAATGTGAGCAAACTTGTACATAGACTTTTATTTGCTGGACTATCTACTCATCATAAAGCTACATTTCATTTTTTGAAATCACTAAGCCACGTTACAATTACTGACCAGCACTGCAGCTGGCTCTGATATTCAAAAAATGCAAAACCATTTCTGGGATGCAAGATGAGACCATCACCTGTACTGACAAGAAGCTAGAGCTGCACTTTTCTGAACAGGCACTGAGTTCAAAATGAATGGTAATTTCTTAAAGCACCTTGGAGTGTGGTTCCATCCAGATGAAATGTGGTCACTGAATTACTTGTCAAAGGCAGAATGAGTATGGTAATTACACTTAATCACCTGTTACTGCTTCTGTTTTTTACAGAATCTGCTTTTTGTTTTACACCTGATATCTGCAAATTTTAGACAAAATGTCATAGAGGGAGTGAAAATCATGGGTTGTCAGTAGTTATTAGCTATTGCCAATATCTGATTCACAGTCAGGTTGAGCTTTTAAGAAAACTCCAGAGACCTTTTCCACCTTTCAACGTGCTTCCCAGCATCTTTCCTTGATTTCATTTTTAGACAATACTTCTTGAGAGGATAGAAGTTGGAGCCAGACAAGAAATGGTAGCCTGCCTTGGAGATGACATAAGCTATACACCGCAGGGATGAGTTTCACCTTTATTTAATGTTAAGCAAAAGACCTCTCCATTCTGCATCGCCTAGGCCCAAGAAAAATCCCTTCTGTGTACAAAAAACTGCTATCAGCTCTTTAAAAAAGTGGTGACGTGTAAGAAAACCAGTTCTATTTGAAACTGATGAGCTATAATAAAACCAAAATACCTCCAACAACTAGGTGGGGAATTATCCTCAGCACATAATATGGGGACAGGCAGAAACAGCAAATTTCTCTTACTGCATATTCCATAGAGAACTGGAGACAGTCAAACACTGCTGTGGTTGGGGTGTGGTTTACCTTTAACAGTGTCAGCACTCTTGTCTGAAATATAACTCTCTTCTGTGCTATCTCTTGAACAGTGCATGTTTGCACTGTCCTTGATCTTGGTGGTACCAACAAATGTGGGTTTTCTTACATTAGAAATAAAAGTTATGTAAGCTATTTTCAAGGTGTGCTGCTATTTCTGGACAAAAGGAGATTTATGATTATTATATACAGCCTTTCATGATAGGAAAGGCTAAAAAAATTAGGATTGTTCAGCCTGGAGAAGAGTAGGCTTTAGGGTGATGTATTTGCGGCCTTCCAGTAGCTGAAGGGAGCCTACCAAGAAAGATGGAGTGAAACTATTTACAAAAGCACATAGAGGCAGGAAAAGAGGGAATGGCTTCAAATAGAAAGACAATGGAATTAAATTAGATACTAGGAAGAAATTTTTCACTGTGGGGGGTGGTAAGGCACTGGAACAGGTTACAGAGTGAAGTTGTGGACGCCCCATCCTTGGAAGTGTTCAAAGCCAGGTTGGATGTGGCTGTGAGCAACCTGATCTAGTGAAAGGCGTCCCTGCCCATGGCAAGGGAGTTGGAACTAGATGTACTTTAAGGTCTCTTCCAACCCAAGCCATTCTGTGATTATATTCTATGATTCATGATACTTGGATCACCATCAGAGTTAATGCAGTTTTAACATGTATGCTATGAAGACCTATCTACCCCGCTATTTGTTGGGACTAAATTTGCTTTGCAATTTCAGACTTCTGCTAATATTTAGGTAGTTGGTTGCAGCAACACATCTGACTACTACCTACCACTGGAATAACGCACATGACCTTCCTGTTATGAGACACGAGATTATTATATTAATTATTGCGTCAGAACAACTCAGGTTTCTGTGTGGGAGGGGGGAAGGACGAGTTGAATCTCATGGAGGTGAGGTCATGCCTTGTCCCACATGCCCCTTAAGACTCCTGGGGTGACCCTGGAGCAATTGTCAGTCAAAGGCAGCCCAGAAGCACAG